AAAAAAAAAAAAAAAAAAAAAAAAAAAAAAATGTCTATATGGTAAAAGAATACCATAAGCAAAGTTAAAAGGCAAGAGACAACCCAGGAGAATATATTTGCCAAAATATAACAAAGGATTAGATAGATTACACAGACTTCTAGAAAGCAATAAAACAAATTAAAATAATGAAGATATCATCATCCATCAGACTGGCAATAATTTTTAAGATTAGGTACTTCATTGTTATCAAGGGCATGCATTGAAGGTGGAATCTAAACTGGTGCAGATTTTAAAAATGCATGTGCCCTTTGACTCAGGAAATCCTTTTAAGAATATAGCCTACAGAAATCCTTGCACATAAGCTTATAAATTTATTAAAATGCACTCCTCAAACTCTTCTCTGAAATACTGCTATTTTCTCTTGCACTAGTTTTTCCCTCTTCTGGATCATTACCCACAAGCTTAAGACATTTTATTTCTCTATCTTAGATAAGAAACAAAAGAAACTTCCTGACTTCATATCCTCCTCCAGTTAAAGCCTCATTTTCTCTCTGCCTTTTAGAACAAATTCCTCAAAAGAGTTGCTTACACTAATGATTTCTAATTCCCTTCCTTCCATTCTTCCTTGAATCTCCTACAAACAGGCCCCCTACTTTTCACACAAAATTGTTCTTGTCTACGTCACTCACACTGCCACACTGTTAAATTCAATGGTCAATTCTCAGTTCGTCCCTTGACATCACTGATTCCCTTCCTGTAGTTTCAAAGGCATCACATTTTCTTGGTTTCCCTTCTACCTTACTGGCTGCTTTCTTAGTCTCTTTAATCCATCCTTCTCACATCCTCAGCCTCTTAACCTTAAAGTGCCCAAGTGCTGTCCCTAACTCTCTTATCTTCTCTAATTTACTCCTAGGTGAGCTCAGGACTTTAAATTGCATTAATAAACAGATGACTCCCAGGTTTGTTTCTGCAGCCCTGACCTCTCCACTGAATTCCAAATTTACATTTCCGACTGCTTATTCAATACCTCTGGTTTTAGATGTCTAAGAAATTCTCAAACATAACCTGCCCAAAGCCAAATTCCTAATCTTGCCTACTGCAGTCTTCCCCATATCATCTTATGCTAATTCCAACTTTCCAATTGTTCAGACCCAAAATTTCAGAGAAATCCTTGACTATTCTCCCTCACCTCATCTTTTTTTTTTTTTTTTTTTTGTCTTTTTCGTGACCGATAAGGGGATCGCAACCCTTGGTGTGGTGTCACCCACAACGCGCTCAGCCAGTGAGCGCACCGGCCATTCCTATATAGGATCCCAACCCGCGGCGGGAGCATCACTGCGCTGCCAGCGCCGCACTCTCCCGAGTGCGCCACGGGGCTGGCCCCCTCACCTCATCTTTAAAACGTATCCAGAATCTAACCACGTCCTACCACCTCTATTGCTACCACCCTGGTCTAAGCCACCATTATGTCTTGCCTGGATTGTTGCAATAGTCTCCTAAATGGCCTCCTTGCTTCTTCCAGCCAGATAATCTATTATCAAGCAAGCAGAATGATCATTCAAAATGTAAGTCAGACTACAGTCAGCCCTCCATATCCGCGGGTTCCGCACCTGCGGATTCAACCAACTGCAGATCGAAAATATTGGGGAAAAATAAATAAAAACAACAAAAAATACAAATAAAAAACATACTATAACAACTATTTACATGGTATTTATATTGTATTAGGTATTATAAGTAATCCAGAGATGATTTAAAGTACAGGGGAGGATGTGCAGAGGTTATATGAAAATACTACGCATTTTATGACAAGGACTTGATCATTCGTGGATTACGGTTTCCTCGGGAGTGTGGAATCAATCCCCCTACCGCCCAGGCAGATACCAAGAGATGACTACATGTCATGCCTCTGCTCGGAAACTTCCAAAGGCTTACCACTTCACTCAAAGTAAAAGACAAAGTCCTTACAGTGGCCTAAAAAAGCCCAAGGCAATGTACCCTGACCCCTCATCACCTTCTGGGACTTTATCTCCTCCTACTCTCCCCTTGCTCATTTCACTCCAACCAGAACAGCCTCAT